AAATGAAAAGCTTATTTGCTTTACTCCTTTCTCTCCCCCTCCTCTATATATTCTTATCGCTTTCCCAATATAAAGTAAATGATGAGAGTTGATCCTGTTTATGGTATATGGCTTAGGGCATGGGAACCTTCACCTTATTTTTTCCCTTCTTGAATTGAACATGAAATTCTGATACTACAGGGCAAAGGGGAGCCTAGGGTTTATGAAGACTGCATATCTTGTGAATCTTAAGTAGAGCTCTTCAATTATTACAGGCTCAACTTTTTCTCACTTTTCTGGTCAAAGTGATATGGTAGGGAAAACAGCTCTGAGAGGTAAGAATCGTAGTTCAATAGAAGTAAAATTTTGAAGAGGCTGTTGACCAACACCTTTAAAATAGCATTCTGTTTTAAGATAAGTACAATGCAGTTTTAATGACAGTAGCTAACAGTAGTTGCTTTTATTTGCTGTCTTCTTTAATCATTGCAGCAACCGTTTGATGTGCAACCATTGTTGTCCATTGTGCAGATGAACACGTGGTTGGGGAATCTCCCTTTTGTTTATCTCTTTCAATTTTCATCCATATATGCACATACATTTCTTAAGTAAACTTTGGGTTATGCAAAGCAGGTTTTATGGCCTACTCTGTCACCCAAGGAGACAGTAGGAAAACATTTCCTTTTGTCATTAAGTTCTTGAAAATAGGCTTGAAAGTCTGTGGAATATTTTATGATGTGAAATTTAGCCCAAGGTTTGTAACTGCATTTTGGGCTAGCTAACTTTTGTTCTGGGTGCTGTCTTGTGCATTGTAGGCTGGTCAGTGTCATCCCTGACCTCTGTGTGCTGGATGCTGGCGCTCCTCTTTTGACTCCCCACAGAGCTGTGACAATAAAATGACTGTAGACATTGCCAGGTGGTGTTCCTAGGGAACAAAATCAGCTCGTACTGAGAACTGTTTACTTAGCTCTGTGTATTTTGTGCTTTTGAAAATAATATGTAGATATGTAGATATGAGTGAACTCGGTAAATTTTCTGTTTGTTTGTTTTTTTTAAAGTAGACCCATCCCATGTAGATGACATCAGCTAATTTCAGCTCCTTCGTAAATATATTTTTCCATTATAGTAATATTGTTTAAAAGTTGAAAATTTAACTTTATTTACATTCATGTAAGAGTATAATTGCTCTCTGTCAGCAGTTTGATGGAAAGGCATCCTGGGAGCTTTGACCAGAGTTGTTTTATTGTAGATGAATTCCATTATCTCCATGTCACTTTCTTAAAAAGTTTGGTCATTGAGGCAGCTGTAATGCTTTGTGTTATTGATGGAAGCCGTAAGTTACTCTTTCAGCTTGTTTATGTAGTTTTCTTGATCTGTTTTGACACTTTAGAAGGGTTTATAAAGCTATCTTTCCTCCCAGATACACATCTTTTTGTATAAATAAAATCTTTTCTGTAGTAGAACTGTAGCATTTTCCTTTTATGTGTGTTGGGGTGGCGGGGTGATTTGCACAGTACAAAGCTAATTGACATCATTAGTCCTTGATTCATTTTGAGCCCACTTTCAGGTCTTTTAAAAACTTTTTCCCCCACATGGATGGAAAGTTAAAGCCAATGTGATGTATTTGGAGCAGCCCTGTATTATATATTTAATGGTAACATCATAGTTTTAAATAAATGTGTATAACCAGTCATATGTAGTTCTTTTTCACTTGTGTTGTCTTTGGTGACGATACTGTATGGTAGTGATTAAATTTGTTTTAAATAGATTGTTGTGTTTTTGAGATATGCATTTTGATGGACTTGCAGTATTAATTTCAGAAATAATATATAGCATCAACTTTTAAAAATTTTCTGAACTTCCTGTCTTGAATTTGAGTGTATCATGGGCTTCTATAAAGTGAGTTGTTTATAAAGACAAAATACAATTAAAATGCAAATTTTGTAAAATTCAAATCTTCTGACGTTGGATTTTGATACTTTAATATATTAAACAAGGTTGGCTACTACTTTTGAGTATTTCCTTTCTCCTTAAGGTAATTAGAGTTCTAGAGAGAATATCCTAGAGGAAGAAAGCTTTTGTTTTATGCCTTCAAACCCATAGTTGATTATTGATTTGGTTTTTATTAACACTTGGTGGGTTTTTTAAAAAAAATGTTTTTACTGTGGAAGCTCAAGCTTCATGAATGCTTTTTTAAAATTTAAACAACGAAAATTTCTTTCGAGGATGTTAGTGTCTCCCTGTTCTATCTAGCTTTTCAAAACATTGGTTATTTATTGAAAGGATTTGCCCCTAGTTAGATGTAGTTGGTGACATGAAACCAAGCAAACCATTTGTATAATTAAAATTTCTGGTGGTTCAGGTGAGGTCTATTAGAAGGAAGCTAGCTGAGTAGAGGCCTTCTCTGGGGTGAGTATGAATTCTCTGTAGTGCTCAACTGGTGCCTTTCCCGTACCTTCTTCATATGATGATAGTTCTCTAATTTAATATATTTGCAGTTATTTTATGAAAGCAAAATGGAATTTTTAGAAAGTGGTATCTAGAAATAAAAATTTATATTTCTATGTAAACAATAACAATGTGGCATCTTTTATAAGTAAAATTTAAGTATTTGGGTGCTTGCTTCGGCAGCACATATACTAAAATTTAAGTATTTGGACCAGCAGGGTTGTATCCTGTATGATGTACAAAAATTGATAAAATTAAGATACAGTGACAAATATAGAGTATATTGATTGTGAACACTATAAAAAGAAATTTGTTATGCACACATTTTAAATGGTTAGGTAGAAAGTAAATGTGATATTCTGGTTTGCGCACAAGTCCAAGTTACCTAACAGGACTTCCTCCGTAGAAGCTTACCCTGCGGGCACAAACTAACAACAGTGATAAATTACCAAACAGTTTTCAGAAATACTTAATTGCTTTAATTTGTTAACCTCTAAAGTAGTTTTTTCCTCCTTTAAGTGCCAAACTCATAAGAGTGACATTTATTTTCAGATAGTGGTTGGAAGTTTTATAGGACAGTTTAAGGGATTTGTCTTTAATTAAAAGTGCTATACACTTAGTAAAAATCCATGTTAGTTGAAGAATTGATTATTTTTCAAGGAAAGCTGCAAATTTTTCTTGTATGGGTAAATGTCATCTGTTCATATCTTGGCTTAGCTGCAAGTCAGGACTTGTTCTGTTCCACCAGGTTGTCATAGTAACGCAGTTAACTGTCATCTCAACTCACACTGTTGATGGTTTTATTTGTAGGTTTGTGAGATTATTAAAATTTAACAAAAATTATTGATTTGCTTTTTATTAAGACTGGATTGTTTACCATGGAAGTTCAAACAGAATGAAGGTTTGTTTTTTTTTCTAAAGTCTTTAAAAAATTAAACCGAAACTATATTAAATCTACCTGATTCTTAAATTTTTTTATTTAAAATGAGATATAGAGCCTGCAGCAGCAAAATAACCTCACTGAATTGTATTTTGAATCCCATTCTATTTTCTTTGTTTACTGAGAAAAAAACTTAAAAATTCACCTTTAGCCTGCATTTAGCATTTAACTTAACATAAAAGATACCTGTCAGAAAAGCGTGAAATGGTACATCAAGTACCTAATATTGGAGTTTTCAATTTATTTATGGTTTTTGATACATTGCACGAATGCTTCAGTGAACTGTGTTGTGAAAGTATTTATTTCTGTATATTTATGTGAGAGAAATTATTTAGTTTTTCACTTATAAATAAGACAGGCAAATCTTATTTACAGTAACTTTATCTAATGGTCCGTGCATGAGTGCTTTTATGCAAAATAGTCAAGAGGCTACAATTAACTTTTCACATTGGATGCACATTTGATGTCCAGGCCCCAGCAACATGTGGATCTTATTATGAAGACCACACTCAGGATTCAGTTTGCATTTAGCTTTTACTCCAGAATGTGCACGTTGTCTGTGCCACATTTAATGTGAACTTTGTAATGGTTTGTGTTTTTTCCTAGTAAGTACATAACTAGTGTTTGTTCGCAGCATTTTGTAATTTTCTGTTTTTAGATTTGTTTAGACTCAGTTAATTAACAATTTCATATTTTATATTTAAAACAAGTCAATTTGGGGTGTATCAGCTCCTTAAATTTGGTTGATTACCATATGTTGCTTATTATCTTCATAGAAATGTGACCTTTTGGGATAGGAATCTTCATAGAAATGTGACCTTTGGGTAACTGCTTACTAATACTTTTGTTGCTAGTCTTAAAGTTGTTCTTGGAAAATTAATAATAAATATGCCATCTTTTGGTGGTCAGCACCACATGCCTGGGGTTCCAGGGCCAGCACAGCATGTGGTAACAGGGATTGAACCTGGGTCCTTACACTTGCCATGTTTGCTGAGCTGTCTTTCCAGCCTCCACCCTGGAATCTTGACCTTCCTACTTGACGTGGTCTCAGCCGCCCTTTGGTACCCAGGGCGACTGAGATGTCCCCAGATGTTTCCAGTAATTTTGGGTGGGAACATTGATGTAGTTCAAGTTACTTTAACATTAGTGGGAGTTTGAAAAATTCTTTCTGATGAAAATGTTAATGAATAATAATCTTCATGAACTTGGATTTTGGTATTGCCTTACATAGTATTTAATAAACTTTTTTCTGAACCATTATCAAAGTAATTTTAACAGCGATGCTTCATTATTAATGGTGGCCATTATATTTACTATTGATTGCTAGCTTTATTCCTTCACTATAAGCATGAAGAATATTTTATGATGCAGTATGCCACAGTAAGATCAAACAAAAAGTTAGTGACCATATGGCGGTTTGTTTTTCTACTCCTGTTTTCAACTTTTGAATTTATTCTGCCAGTGAGGTTGACACATCTAGTTGGCTCAAGGAAACAGGATAATTTTAACTGTTAACTGAGGCTGTGGTTAGGGATGGTGGGTAAGAGACCATTTCTGGTTCCCCCTTAAAAAGGTGCCTTGAGTCTCTCAAAACAAATCGGCAATGGCTGTACCTTTTCTGTGCTTTTCATTGCAGGAAGAAGAGAGTGAAGAGGAACCCAAGCTGAAATATGAAAGACTTTCTAATGGGGTAACTGAAATTCTTCAGAAGGATGCAGCCAGCTGCATGACAGTCCATGACAAGGTGAGGGAATATCAGAGGTCCTTGCTTCTGTTGTACATTTGTTTCTAGAGCTCTGATGCTTTTGCTCGGGTTTTACAGCAGCCATATTTCCTCTTTGTCATGGCTCATCTTTTTCTCACTGACAAAAACCAAAACAGCCACCCCAGATATTTTATCTAGGTGCACACACAGTACCACGTGTGTACTGTGCATCCCAAGGAGACTCAAGACAGCAGTTCATATGAAACAGTCATAGGACTTGGGGAATGCCATTACTTAATTTCTCAAATCAAAAGGACTAAGCTAGGAACATGTTAAGATTAGAAATAGAGGGATGCTTCATGCTGTTGGAAAAAAAGAAGAGGTTCCATTGGAGGTTCTGAGAAGATGGCTGCTTACAGGAATGAATGAACGAATGAATGAATGAATTGGATATATTCTGCATTTTAGTCCTTGCTAAGTCAGAGCTCCCACCACATCCAAGTCCAGGTTAAGTACTGATAGCGACCTTAGCTTATTCTTGGACCAGAAATGTCTCAGTCTACCACTGCTCTGTCCTGTGCACCTATGACTGTGAGTGTGTCTTAGTCCCACCATGAAAGGCAGATTCTGCACCTCACGTCCTTCTGGCTTTAAGCTGCTACCAGCAGCCTGTCTCATCCTCCTCTGTCCTTCCACCTAAACCCTCTTTCCTTCAGATTTCCACTGCAGACACATCTCTGCACACACATAACACTTGAGTCAGATGTCTGCCTTCTCTCTGCTTTACCAGAAACCCCTCTGGTGAGGCTTCTGCTCTTTCGCTGCAGACCTTTGCTGGACTCTTTTCTCATTGCTGCCCCACTTCAGTCCCTTTCTGTTATCATTCTGGACTGCCCTCACAGGTCTTAGGCCTCATTCAGTCCCAGGGGCCTCCCCTCTTCCTGCTTTCCCCTCCATGCCCCTCTGCCAGGGGTCAGTGCCTAGAGCTGGAGAATCTTCACCTCCATTGCACTTGCTGTCGACCCCTTTGCCCTTGAAGCCTTTGTTCTGTGATGTTACTGCATTCTGATCTCTGACCCAGGTTTTTCTCTTTCCTGTCTCTTCTGTCCTTGAACTGATCAGGGGTCCTTGCAACACCAGCACATCCTGTTGGCTTCCACACCAGTCCTTTCTTTGTCCCCTCTGCTCTGGCTCAGTTGTAATGGCCATGACAGGCACACACCGGTTCATTCCCAAATACCCAGTGACAGTCACTACAACCTGCTGGTACTTACCTGCCTTCATTACCTTCATTAGTCCTCATTTCCAGTTCTCAGACTTTGTCTCTTCACTGTTAGAGCATGATATTATTTCTAAAAAAATTGAGAGCACAAAGCTGGGTCAGCCTGCTCCTGACCCCTTCTCTGCCCCTGCAAACCCACACTCATCTTCCGTAGGTGACTTTTTCTGGCAGTTCCAGGCTCTTTTCCTCTGCATTTGTTCTTTATTTCATGTCATGCGCTCTTTTTTCTCCTTGAGATATTTGCTGTGTCATGGAACACAGCTGATTCTAGCCCTGGTCAACCACAAATCTAATTTCTGTCTTTGTAGATTTGCCTGTTTCAGATACTTAAGATAGATGCAGCTGTACATTATCGGATCTGTGTCTGACTGCGTTCATGGGGCGTGCTTTTGAGGTTCATCATTATGTCGCATGTATCAGCACTGCATTTCCTTTTGTTGCATCTTAGTATTCCATTGTGTGGAGGGACTGTACTGTGTTATCCCACCAATTGGTGAACTTTTTTTTTTTTTTTCCAGTACTGGGAATTGAACCTA